CTTGAGCTATGGCGCGGCCCAACACGTGTTAGTAAATGGGGCAGCGCAAATTGAGGAAACGGCAACGCAACTCACGGGGAGACTGAGAAACTCAATTTCCAGGCAACGGAGCATGTCAGTCTTCACACGATTGAGTTCGACTGAATTGCCGGGTGGATTCCTAGTAATCAGCTGTTTTATAACGCACTACACTGATTCAGTTGTTTGTAAGGCCGCACGAGTAGTTGATGAAGCTGCTAATTTGTTCTTGTGTAGTTAACTGAGCAAGAGCCTGGCTAATATGACAAACGCTGTCCAGACTGTGCAAGGCGGGACAAAGTACGTAGATTTGGCTTGGGGGGGGGGGGAATTTAATGAGATGAAGGAATCAGGTATGTGTGTGTCTTAAACTCAGAATAGAAGGTAACGATTACTGACAGTAAACGGAACAAAATAATAAACCAGCATAATACATGATACATTCAAAGTATGAATGTAAAGTTAACTTCGTGAAATTACCTTTAATTTGAATTTATTGGTGCTTAAAGCTGATTTTCGAAAATGCCACCGCCGGCCGCAACACAGGTTGCCGCTCGGTTGTGAACCGCGCCGTACATACCAACCATCCCCGCCATAGGTACATCTCAAGTGTCGAGATAACGAGAGCGCTCTGTCTGTAGTTGGCTAAAAATAGCGACCGGCCAGCTGACAGACGCGGTTCACATGAGGGCATATACGGGAATTAAAAAACGGTCCTAACTCCGTAACCGTCCAAAATCGGACACATGTTTATATGAACTTTTTTGATCACAAATACCTAGGAAATCACCTCCTGCAGTTATGCCCTAAAGTCGTGAAATATCCTGTATAATAACAAGAAGGGAGGGGAGGGGTCCACATGGGAAATCACTATAGAGCAGTGGGGAAAGGTCTGTGGCGATGGGTCAGCAGGTAGCAGGTAAAGGATAGTGTCGAGGGGGAAAGGCAGGGTTTTCGGGAGAGCATTGAACCAACAGCCTAGGGACTAAGCTGCCGGCCGTGCATCGACCTGCGTAGTCCTGTAGATCCGGCGTCATGTTCCAGAGGTTTCTTGAGGGAGCGGATTAGAGGCTTTCATGGCTTGCTAAGACAAACCCCCACCTTTCTGTTCATATTGTTGGGATAGAGTTCAATCTCAAAGGCCTCCCTAATGATGCTATCCACGTATTAGGTCTTGGTAGCGAAGCTGAATGCGGTGTCCCAAGTCGACGCTGTGTTCAGCCACGGCTGGCTTGTCTGGATGTCAAAGACGGTTGCTCCTTCAATCTCAACCAAAAGCACTATTTTGAGGACCTTAAGACAGATTAGTGCAAATGAGTTTCATAGTTTTATTTGGCTCCCTGTAGTATCATGATGTGGTAGGGTGACAGCAAGCTGATTTGAACCCTTCATACAAGCTGTAACTGGAGTGATCCGGTTTTCTAGAATGACCCAGGTTGGAGGTCAGCAGGGCAGAAGGTTATCATGGAAACTGGTAAGCTCCAGTCTCGATCAAGCCATCCCTCCATTACATTGAAGTACCGGTACGAGGTCTGCACTCAGACTTAGCTTAATGACTTGTGACACTTTTCGTAAAAATTTGGACCCCTTCGGGCCATTTTTCTTAATTTTAACTTCGTACCGACAAAAGTATTGGAAGTTTTTCAAAGGTGGAAGTCCGAAAGTTTGGTTACAAATTTATGTTTAAACCAATTATGTCCACTTTCGCTAATTAAAAATTGTATAATATTATTAATATCTGGTATATATACCTTTCTTCTTTAGTTTGGTCTCTTCTTGCATTCTGGGATGAGGGGTAGAGATATTGATTTCAACTTCCTTGCTGGCTCGTATGGGAATCTAGTCACGTGTGCTATTATTATAATTGAAACAGTATGGAATACAGATCAAATAATGTTACGTTATTATTTCTGCCAATACAGTGTGAATTAATTTTGGTTGTATGTATAACTCCTCATATATGTCTACGTCATTTCTTTTTTTATTTAATTAGGAATACCAGATATAATATATACGTTGTCATATGGCCCTTGCCGATCAGAATTATGTATTGCATATTTGAAGTTTCCATGGACCCTCGAACTTCGAACGATTTGAGGAAAATCAAGTTTTGAAACTCGAACAAAAAACCGAAAGTCAAAGATTCACGTGGTTGTCACATGGTCGCCTTCTCTGCTTGGTCGCACGTAGACTTGCTCGGCCAGTTCTCCCGTGAATGGTTCAGTGAGCATCTCGCAAAATCAGTCTATTTTTAAGCGTTTTATTTATTTGGGTTATTTTTATATTATATTTAATAATGCCCATTCATAATGGCACGAAAGAAAGTTACTAGAGGTGAAAAGCCTAAGAGAAACTTCCTCTTACATGTAGTTACTATAGGATACTGACGATGGTGTATAACACACAGAGTTATTAGGGTTTCGGACTTTATCCATCGTCCTGTTTTTTTTTCAGTTATCTTAAAAAATCAGGACGATGGATAAAGTCCGAAAACCCAACTCCTCTTACATCTTAATCTGTATGCCCCTGAGGATGATCTCATGAGACCGAGACTTGTGGAATTATTAACACAGGAAATAAGCCAGATGAGGTTAGATGGTGATTTATATTGGGCTATTAATTTTTGGATTGCGCAAAGTAAAGTTAAATGTGGTTCTGAAGAGTTATATCCCAGAAGACAAAATTCTTCATAACTACCGCCCTGAGAAATTGAGATCATATAAATGCGGTTCTGTTTTCATCTGGCCGCGCGATCTAAGGCATGAACTGTCTTCGCTTGCTCGGACTCTGGGATCGTGGGTTCGAATCCCACTTAAGGCATGAATGCTTTTGTTTGTGTTTATTCTGTTTGTGTTAGGTAGCGGTCTTGGCCGATCCGCCTTCCAAGGAGTCATAAAAAATGTCTTAAATTAAGAGAAACTAAAATTTGCTTACCTCGACACCATAAAGGTATAAGAGGAGCAGATTAAGAAAGAAAGAAAAGTTCCTTTTTTGTCAACTCCTGAAATATACTTTTGCCACTAGTGGTACTATTTTAAGTGGGTTATTTAACGATGATGTCGGTATGGATGCTCAGTAGCGTCGTTGGCTGGATGATTATGAATGTGTGGCAGTCGGTGGAATGAGAATTGACTGTGGAAACCGAAGTACTCGGAGAAAAAACCACTAGTGACACTTGTCCACCACAAATGTCACATGCCCAGACCTGGGCTCGAGTAAGGATTGCAGCGATGGGAAGTTGGTGAATAACTTGTCACATTCAAACCCATTGTGTAAGTGGTGTTTTTAGACCTTTAAAGCGTTTATTTCGACTTAAGATTCTTACAATGTATGTGTTATTTTGAAGTGACCGCACTGATGTGAAATTCGTTCCCATAATAACGTCAAAGTGATCCGTGGTTTCGAGTAAGGTATATTTAATTTTACTACGACAGTTGGCTTCCATGAGCGTAATATGGCCGAAAGCGATGTTGGAGTAGTTATGTAGTTATTACAGCTGATTGTCAATGATAAAATGTGTCCAGTGTTGAACGTCAATAGAGACTATTTAAATTGTCAGAACATATTTGTAATTTAATTATTAGAATCACAAATAATCTCACACAATTTGTCCCGTGTTTTATTCCATGCATAGTTTAATTGTAATTGGAATTCTAACCAACAATTTGCAAAGAATCCTGTAAGAGAGTATGACATTTCTGGAGGTAAGTATTTTATTATATTGATAAATATAAAGCGACCAGAACGAGAAAGTAGTCATACAACTGTTTCTAAACGTATACACGCCCCTCTAACCCCTCATTTCATGATGCATAGGCACTGACTTTGGTTGTCTGGATTATTCGTTCTTATGATATGTCTGTATTTTGGAAATGTTCCTATACAATTGGAATTCAGCATTTTTAATATTAAAAGGCTAATATTGATAGAGTGAAAATTGGAAACGTAAAATTCACACTATATGATTTGTGCCATTGTATTTGGAAATCCTTATGATCATTTCAAGGCATCAGGTAGTGTGAGTGCTGTATGGTCAGTACTCCATTCCAAATCAAACTTAGATGCCTTATGATATCCTTTTCTTCTGTATTATTTTGTTCGACTGATGCAGGTAAGTTTATAGTGTCAACTCTTTTCTTACAGATTTTTTTTTGCAGTAGTCTCTCTTCCACAGTATATGTGCATTGTTGTTCTAGAAGAATATCAAGTAGTCATGAATAGCAATATCCTATATTTACCTCATTTGTAATGCCCAGTGCTAATGCATTATTTAAGGCTTGCAGCGCAAGCATGGGACACAGAACTGTGCAGACATTTATAATTGATAAATAATAATGTGCAAAAATATATGTAACTATTTTAATGCAGTTTTGAAAAATTATGATGGTAAGTGAAGTGTTCTTCTGTTAGTCTTGGAAGAAATTCTGTAAATACTTCCTTAAATAATTAAGCAAGGTTGTTATTTTTTTAAATCTGCATTAAACATTATAACAAATGGCAGAATGAAGTGTGTGATGACATAGTTACCTGAGATAAATGAAACATTTGTGATAATGCAACATAATTCAACTATTTACATATAAATTCCTGAGAGAATAAGTTTATATCTTCAAGAACCATGTTTAAGTGTAACTTGTTGTTTTCTTTGTGTAGTGGAGGCGTTTTAATTTCTTTGAGCTGAACAAAGATGTGGACTCTGGGAAAATTGCTGAAACACTTAAAGTAAGTTGGAAACAATTTTACAATACAGTGACCATTTACATGTGGCTGTTTAGAACTAACCCGACCATATTATTACATTTGCTGTCAGATTTCCAGAGAAATAATAAACCAACCTACCCCACCCTAATTTAATCTAAACTTTGACCATAGTTTTTATTTCTTGAATATAAGATTTTCACAGCAGTGACTGTGAAGAGTGCAATCTTCTGGGATGTAATGCTATCTAGTCTAGCATTTCACCCACTTCTTGCCTGTTCATTCTTTGCCTTATTCTCAGACTCTGAAGATGGAGCCACGATGCTTTCATGAAGTGTCAGTGGACTTCTACTGGATTTAGGTGTTTGACTTTACATCCCAGAAGACAGTGTTTAGATGCTTGTCTGTTGTAGATATAATAGCTTTCTCAAGTACAAGAGAAGTATTTGTTTTAATGCACTATTGCAATTACAAAATATTGGTTTGTAGCATAGCTACATCAGAGTGTCACATGAGTAGATCAGCCATAAGTAATCAATCACTGTGTTGTGAAGATCCTGTGAAATGCAGTCAAACTCTTTATCTTTGTGTTTGCTGTTAACTGTTGTGTAATGTGCTTGAAGTTAGTATTGAACCAAGAAGTGAATGGAGTATGTAAGTCACATAGTTAGTTAGCTAGTTATTGGAGAGGGTGGGTTTCCCCATGCACTTAGACCTGTATTGGTCCATTGTGCTTCCCTCTATGATTTCTACCAGTCTCTATATCCTACCGGTACTGGTGCTTACCATCAGTCCCACCCAGCCAGCAAGACCGGCTCTACTAGCTGAGAGGTATCTATAATGCTTCCCCCATCTACCGGAGGTATTAGAGACTGTTGTTGGGCGGGAAACGTCCATAATTTGGCTCAGTGACCTCCTTTGGAGATATAAGGTTCTTTTACGTGCCGTAAAGCTACGACACGGGACCCACGGCTTAAAGTCCCTCCCGGAGGACTTGTTCCCTGAATTTTTCCGCCCTTAAAAATTCGATGACCTCCGCCGGGTATTTGAACCCGCGTACTACGAGTCATGAGGTGGGAACGTTACCTCTAGACTACGGAGGCCACTTATGTAAGTCACGTAACTTATTGCCATAATATATCTTTCAGGATGCAAAGGTCAGTGTTGCTACAAGTGGGCATGGTCATCTTGTTTTCGGAGATTCAGAGGGAAATATTCACCTTGTCAGTCGTTCGTTTCAAGTCACAACATTTCGGGCGTATGAGTTGAATGTGATACTAGCAGAACAGCTGCACCACATAGCTATACTTGTTACTGTTGGGGTAAGTACTCAATGACATTAGGATTATATAGTAAAGAAAATATGTTGGTCAAGTATGTGTTGGTCTTTAGTCGCTTGTGAGAAATTAGACATTCAAACAACATTTCCTTTATCCATGTTTAATAAAAAGGATTTATGTATATTGGGATATGATTTATCTATAAACTCAGTCTATATTCATAGCATTAGTTTTACACATTTTCTGGTGGAATTTCTGAAGTCACAAAATCATAGCTGCCAGACCTTGTATATTTTGCAACACATTTCCATTTAAACACCTTAATTGGCTTGTGAACAATGACCTATATATCGTATCTACAGAGTGGTTGATTGCAAAGGTTCATTTCGTTGGTGCTTCAGCTTGGGAAATACCGGACTGTGCATAAGCCATTCAGAAAGGAAACACACTCTTGCGCAGCTATTGAATGAGGATTTGTCCATGTTTTAAAATTTTGTTTGTAGGCACCTCATTTCCTGACCAATATGCTATGTACCTAGGTCATGGAAATAGATTATCTAGGTATTTGAATATATTTGGCCCTTGTGAACACATTAATGAACCTTTGGGTTTCATAAAAATGGGGAATTTCTTGACCAGGTTAGTAACTGTTAGGGTTTTAAGGACTCAGTTCCCTAGAGATAGTTAGATCAAATATGTTGTTAAGAATAACTTACATATATTGGTATTATCATTTCAGTCATTTTTATGATGCAACTTTCTGTTAGTATTCAGAGGCTGCATGGTTTTTTACACATTATTAACTTTTTATCATTGTTAGAATGACATGTTTCAATTAACGCTGTGACTATCATCAGGTACTTTCTTTTGGGGCTTGTGGTGAACAGAGGGGCACTGAGGCAAGTTTTCTTCAGGTACTTTGGTTTCCTCTTCCAGTTCTCATTCCACTGACTGTTCCACATTGGTTTGTCATTCTATCATTGATGCTGTATAGCCTGCACAGAAGGCAGTGTTCTGCAACATTCTTGCACATTTCCCAGTAATACAAGATATTTTATGACAGTGTCTTGGAATTTTCTGTGATTTCCATGACAAAAAAGAAGGTACATTTTATGTAAGTTTCATGGTCTTGAATAGCTGCACAACTGGCAGCTACTCAAGAAAGGTTCAGCTCCATGAAGTTAGTTGGTTGGTTAGTTAGTTAGTTCTTTCTGCATTTCTTTTTCTGAGGCTACAGATATTATCTTTCATTTCTGTACAATTCTGCTTTAAGTTTCCTGAGAGAAATACCAATATGTTCAAATAAAGGAAAATGCAAGCCATTGACTTTTATTAAATATTTGTTTGTTGAATACAGCAGTTAATTCATAATAGGGACATGTGACACAATAAGAGGAACTACCCATTACCATAGGACACAAGAGCACATAGATAAGGGCATTCCACAAAAATTGAACTTATGGGCAGAAGCACAGCAGCTTCTTCAGCCATAGCAGGGGTTGAAACATGCAGTGTGCATACACCAGTGATGTAGGAGAGATTCTAACATTTTAAGCTTCTAAAGGTTTTAAAAAGATGGTTCCATGTGAGACGGCTAATAACTAACAGGAATAAATAAGTGACATGCAACAGGATGCTATGATACAATATTATGATTGAATAATTTTTTTGTGGTGTCTGCTACTGCTTTGTCATGCTGGAAACTTCCTCGACTCTTTCCCTCCTTAGTGAGTTGTTAGAGGAGGTGAATAATAATATTGTTCATACAGTGCTTTGAGAGTTTCTGTTTTTAGTACACTTTTTGTAGACAATACATGTGTCCATTAAAAATGGAATAGGCGTGTCACTGAGTTATGTTGTGTTCATGCTAGAGTGTATTGCCTCCTTGCTAGCTGTTATTTTCCAAACTGTAAGGGTGAGGGCTCACCAAGGAAACTGGCAACCGCAACACAACTGCAAATTCCAAGAATTGTTGCCGATTTCAAGCAGGCAACTGGTTTCCAGATTAGCAACCACACCCTGAAGAAGCGTATGCTTGATTAGGTGCTCACATCATCTTAAGCGATTTTAAGTGGGTATGTTCATCTGATGTAATGCATGATTATATTTTTTTTAATTTTGTGCACTCACCTTCTGCAATGAAAGATAATAATACTGATCATGTCATAATATTGTGGTGGTTGAGATGGGACTGTTTGAGATGGTGTGAGAAGAGTAGATGACGGCCATAAAGAAAATATTGGGATGTTGATTAATTTGTTTTAATTAAGGTCAATTTATTTTAATCAGGAAATATTACGTTCATACATGATAGGAAATTTTGACGTACAGTGCAACAATTTTATCAAGATAGAAGACACCTGATGATGGCCGTATACACCCAAACCATGTAATGTGGAAGAAGGGTCAGTATATAATAAGTTGCATTTAAGATGGAAATATATGCGAAATAAATGATATACTGATGCAATAGGATGCTTAAATACAATATTAAGAAAAGAAAACAATGGGTACATCTGTTCTGTTACAATTTACACTGAGGCGCTTATATTGTTTCTAAAGAACTTAACCTGGATCCAGACTCCTTCATCTCATGAGAAATTCTTTCCCAAGCCAAATCTATTTTATCTTGCCTAGCATAGTCTGGGTGACATTTGTCATATATACCAGGCTCTTGCTCAGTTAACTGCACGAAAACAAAATTAGCAGCTTCATAAACCTTTTGTGCCATTGTAAGAAACAAATGAATCACTGATGGCACATTATAGAACAGCTGACACTAGGAAACCACATCGTAACACAATTCTGAGACAGTTTGCATGCTCCGTTGCCTGGAAGTTGAGTTTCTCAGTCTTTCCGTGAGTTGTGCTGCTGTTTCCTGTTTACACTGCTCCATTCAATAACATGTGTTCAATTCAGGCTAATAACAGTTCTCAGAAATTGAGGTTGTCTTTCGGTTGCCAATTTCGTTGGTGTGCCTTTGTCTTAACAGTAATAAAAATATGTAACCTTGGGCATGAACACCGTTCATCCATAAAGTGTCTTAATATTTTGCTCTGCTGTTGTATGTTAATGTTTGTATACAAAATTCTCACAGGAAGATGAACCTGGGGTAAATCCTGTTATCAAGGTTTGGAACTTGGACAGGCTGGACAAACAGGGTCACCCAGTATGTTTGCGCATCTCCCGTGCCATTCCAAACAACAAACCAATTCCTGCCACAGCTCTGTCTGTGTATGATAACCTGAACCTCATGGCTGTGGGGTTTAGTGATGGCTCCATTCTGCTGTACAGAGGTGAGTCATATGACATTTAATAATAAGAGGATATAAAAGGCTTCTGCATGGATCTGAGGAAAGTTCCTGTATGTGTAAACGATTGTGTAAGATTAATGGCAAGTAAGGTCATACCATAGCTTAGGCTATTAGAAACTGGTGTCTCTGCTTAGGGCCTGGGTTCATTTCGATGAGATATGGGGCAGACAAAATGACATGAGGAAAGTTTTTCTCCAATTATAATACCACTAATATACTGAACCCTTCTATCTCTGTTCATCACTGTGTTATAGGCCAGACCAGCCCACGTTATCACAACCTTGGTTCGTAGTTGGAGCTGTGCCTTGTTATGTCACCAACAGATGGCATAAGTGGCCATCTTTACGTTTCTCAGTCACTTTTAGGTGGCTGGGCATTGCCTAGGCCTTTTTTATATTTACAGTATTTTTTTCTACAATAAATCTCAGTCAGTTGTTTGTGAAATGGCGACTATGCAGGAATGCTCGCATTGCATGGGATGGCTTTTTAGATGAAATCAGTCACCCAGACTCAACGGAATTACCGCACGCAGTTCAGTAAGTAACCTCCAAGTGCCAAGCATTAAGAGACTGGCAACGGCATTTCCTAGAAATTTCCATGATCGCAAGACACGCGGCAGACCAGGTGTAAGCGATGAACGTGTGGAAAGAATCCTTGAATCAAGAGCAGACAATCAACATGAACACTTAACTGGACATGCTGCTACTGTGCAGTACCACAAATTGAGCACTTACAGCCATACATCTTTCTGCAACAAGATAGTGCTCCACCTTATTGGCGTCTGCAGGTATGCGTGTTCCTAGACAGGACATTTCAGGAAGGTGGATTGGCAGAGACAGTCCAATGCCTTGGCCTCCACATTCACCAGACATAACACCACTGGATTTTTCCCGTGGGGTTATGTCAAGAGCAGCATGTTCCAAACACCAGTTAACGGACTTGATGACCTGAAGACCCATATCAGGAATGTGATCTCGACTATTCCAGTGGACATGCTCCACAGAACATGGCAAGAGCTTGAGTATCGTCTGGATGTTCTCTGTGCTACCAAGGGAGCACACATCAAGGTCTACTGAGGTCAGTAAAAAACTTCCAGAGTTTCACTATGATCTGCCACAAACCACATGTGGCTAGCTCAATTTATTTATGCGCCACAATTTTTCAAAACCCCAAAGGGAGTTTGTGGACACACTGTACTTGAAACCGAAATTAATGTGCAGTGCTGAAGTAGAAACATGGAGTTGAGAGAAAGAATGGGTACAGCATATCTTAAGGAAACAAAAACAGAACTAGGGATGGAGCCATCCTAGAGGATTGTGGAATTAATAGATGTTTAAGAGATGACAGTGCTTATAGATAGTATATAGGTTGGTACAACTGAGTTTCTGTTTCTGGCAAGGGAGTAAATTTTTCTTTTTGCCTCCATGTCCAGAAGGCTGTGAGGGCCACCCAGCCTCATATCCAAATAATATTTGGTCCCAAGAGCAGAAATCATAACAATACTTGAGTATTTGCCCTCCAGGCCTGCCCATGATACTGGCTACACACCTCTCTTCATTACCTGTGTACACTTTCCAGTTGTGCTTAGGTGCAGGAAAATGTCTTAATATTAGCGTATATTTAAAATTCACTCATGTGATTTCATGTGTTTATCTCACATAGGAGTGTAAGAAATTAAATGTTAATGTAAGATGTGTGTTTATTTTAAGGTGATGTTACAAGAGAACGTACCAATAAGCAGAAAGTATTGAAAGATGGAAACTCCTCTATCACAGGACTGGCTTTCCGAACAACAGCAAAGCTGACATATTTATTTGTAGCAACAATGAACAATGTGTATTTGTATAATATCACTATGAAAGATAAAGAACAGAAGGTACTGTATATAACAAAATAGACTTAACTTGGAGATAGGATTAATATTAATCAGAATGGCACATATAATTCTCTTACAAGTTCAGGAGGGGTCAGGATAGCTTAGTATACCAATGAGTTATGGGCTAGATGTCAAGGTAGACTTGAAAGGATTCTGACGATGGTGTATACTGTACTTCTTTTGGCTTATTTTGGACTTCACCCATCGTCCGGTATATAAAAGACAAAAAACCACGACGTTTCGGAGACTGGATCTGTCTCCGTCTTCGGGTGGATAGGGAAGGTTTAATCTACTCATTTGGGCCCCTTAGAAAGAGCTAGTCTCAATCACTGGTCCCGTGATTGAGACTAGCTCTTTCTAAGGGGCCCAAATGAGTAGATTAAACCTTCCCTATCCACCCGAAGACGGAAACAGATCCAGTCTCCAAAACGTCGTGGTTTTTTGTCTTTTATATACCGGACGATGGGTGAAGTCCAAAATAAGCCAAAAGAACTATAGATGTCAAGGGTTCAATTCCAGGCAGGGGCAAGATTTTTCTGTTCTCTGAAGCATCCAGACTGGTTCTGGGGCCCATCCTGCCTCCTATCAAATGGGTACCAGGGGCTCTTTTCCTGGGTGTTAAGTGGCCAGTGTGTGTGAAGGTGACCACTCACCTCCAACCAGTGCTGAGGTCAAGAAAACGTGGCTCTATACATCCCTCCCCCCAATGTCTTCATGGTATAGTACTTAATTAATTAAGCACAAGGACATCTTTACCTAACTTACAAATTCAGATGTCCTTTATGGAGCAAAATGAATAGCACAGTCTACACTTTTTGTGGTACTGTTTTGTACATCTGTGATGTAGTCTCAGGAGTGCCATTAATTAAATTTTATGTTAAGAACTCTAGTACAAATAGCGAATCCCTCCAGCCTTCAGACCTGCCATTATAGTTGAAAATAGAATTAAGCCTGCTTATCACATCATAAACTCTAAATAAAATAATTGTTTAAATTAAATCAGTGAATATAATGATTGAGCAGAATCTTTATAATATGCATTTTTGTATAGATTTAATATTCAAAATATGATTGTCAAGAAAATAACGAAAACTTGTAAAGGTTTTAATAAGATTGCAATTCATTTAGTAGTCTGTTCGTGTAAACGTGAGTGTAATATATGGTTTCCTAAATAAATAAATGAAGTGTGGCCTAGTCTTATGATCGTGTAATTAAATGTTCAACAAATTAAAAAAAATATATTAAAAGTTGGTTAAAGCACAGTTGGTTGTGTCACAGTGACACTATGAACCGTGATTCCATGAAAATGTCAGATGATGTTAGTTTACTGTAGGTTTGTATTTACTTTAATTTTCTAGAAATATTCATAGGCATAGAGTCAGGTCAGTTGTCTAATATTCAGACTCAGCACCCTATTCCCTACTTTTACCCCTAAAGTCATAAAACTTAAAGTATTAATAAATGTTGTGTACATTTTAATATATGATTATGTTACAGTTCATTAAAGTATACCTATATGAGCACCTGTTACTCATTTGTCTGAATTCTTAATATACATTTAGAAGGTCCTACACTTGGTACTGAATATTGATGTGACGTGCTTTGTCACCATTGGCTGCAAATTCAAAATTTGCTTTTGCTTGTAGATTCACTTGGATGGAATGGGTTGCATGAGACGTTGCTCAGTGCTGGCTGAATCAGTGCAGGAGAGCCATTTCATGATTGGGAGGAATGATGTGAGTGGTGTATTGATTCATTGTTGCATGAATCATTGGCAGATACTACTACAAAATAAACTGAAAAGTCTAACATTGTTAAATCAATTGTCACACATACTGTAACTATTTAAGTAGTACTGCTAGCTGTCTCTTTTTGCTGATGTCTGTTTTAGTACCTGACTGCTGCTGACAGACCAACTCACTTTTTAACCTACTTCTGTTGTTTTTAAAAGTAAGAGTAGGCTTATGAGATCACCATGCTAACTTTGTGTCGTTATGTCCCCTCCTATAAACTTGAATGCCTGAACCTATCTTTATGGAAAGTTGGTATCTATATCATGGCACCTGAACCCATCTCAACAGTACATTTCATATATCTCTGTCAGCAGTCTTTGTGTCTATATATGTATCCTATTGTTGCTAGGCAATGGCTCAGTAAAAATTACTGTGGCAATGAATATTAAAAAAGTAAACTCCATGGTTTTAGTCCACAAGCGAACTATACCAAATGAGCAACTGCCACTTGTTGGCGAAGTTATTGCCAACTTTAGCAGATAGATGGTGTCACATGGTCAGTGCAATGAATCCCATGGGCATTAATTTAGGTTTTCTAAACTGGAGCCGCTATTTCCTTGAAATAACTACTTAATTATCCTCACAAGGCTGAGTGGACCCTGTTCCAGACCCACTACTTCTCAGAAAATCTGGCAGTGCCGGGAATCGAACCTGGACCTCTGGATCTGTAGCCAGGAACTCTGACCACTAGACCACAGAGGCGGTCAGAAATAGAAGAATTGTTGGATTCATCTTTTTCTGTGCAGTCCATGTTGTATCAAAGGAAAGTAGGTGATTAGTTGTCCTCAGAACTTCTTGCTACATAATCAGTATACTCCTGCTCCAGAGGAGGCACGCAGTAGTGTAGTTGTTTGAAGGGCTATGCTACAAGCCGTAAGGTCGTACGTTCAAGTCCTGATGAGGTCACTGGATTTTTTCAATTGACCTAATCCTTCCCGCTTCACTATGGCCCTGGGGTTGACTCAGCCTCTAACAGAAATGAGTACCAGGAATTAATTAAATAATTTTCCTGGTGTGTAAAGCGCGGCCGGCACATAACGCTGACAACCTTACCGCCATCTTTTAGATAATGTGGGACCCTCATTGTCTCACAAGCCTATGGGCCTTCACAGCCGAGTACAGGGATAGATTTACCTTTACTTTACTTTACTTTACTTACTCCTGCTCCAGAATGCTGTAATTTCAGTTCACGATGTTCGGCCCTGTCATCTCATTGAATAATAACAATATCTGAACTTGAAGGTGTTTGCTAATTGAAATATACCCCTATGGTGGACAGCATGCATGGCCATATCCCTATGTGCTGAGGTGTTTAACATTTGATGTCCTTCCATGTCTGGCTTGGTAGTTCCACTCGTTTTCCCTTGTGTTATTTGTGGCAGTAACTACTCAACGTCATTTGACATTGTTCCAGGCAGTGTACTGTTATACTCCAGATGGCCGAGGACCATGCTATGCTGTGGAGGGAGAGAAAATAATGCTGCAGTGGTTCCGAAATTATCTCGTTATTGTTGCTAAAGACACCAAGACTGTCACTCGTGCTACTGCTACTGTCTCAGCCACATCAACAAAGTAAGCGCCATACAACGGTAAAAAAATTGTTTGGACAGCATCAGACCCTTGGTCATTTCCATACACATTTGAAGAAATCTTATAATTGAACTTCCCAGTGATTACCTTATTTTCATTTTTAATGGTGTACTGACTCTGCTTGGGTTAGGAATGGCGATGTTCGGGAGCCACACCAAATAAGCTAATTCTGGTTCAGTTGGTACCAAAACCTGGGATTGAGTATGATAAAAGATGTTGATCTTAGTTTTGAATGTTAATGACTGTAAGTTGTTTGGCATAAGGAGTGTTATACTTCTGTTTTTAGCAATATTTCAGTTGCAGTTGGATTTCTTTAATGTATCCTGTTATGTGCCATCATGTTGGGAACTCTGATGTTATATGTCATACTATCTTTATTAAAGACTGAGACCAAATATTATTTTGACACATTTCAGTATCATATTTTCTTCCACAGACAAATGCCTGTATAGATTTCACAATACTCCATCTACTTTTTTTGCCAATATTATGTTATTTTGGAAAAATAAATACTGAATCTGATATTTTTACTAGGAAGATCATCACTTTGCCAACACACAATTTCAGGTGTGCCACATAAACCAAATTACTAATGGCCACCTGTATCTTTTCCATACACAGAGAACTTTAAATTAAGTGCAGATTAGTAGGTTAATTGTGATTTTTAAATCAGTATTTGTTTCTAATTAAACTGACTGGATTTAGGTAGAGGTTAATGGTCAAATGATCTGAGCATACATATGCAGTGATAATACTGTATTTGAAAATATATACCCCTTTCAAAATATAATCTGAGACCATAAAAATACAGTTATATACAATGGAATAATGTGTTAGCAGTGCGTAAACATTTTCTATAAAAGAGCCCAGAAGTTTAGGATCTCTCTGGTTTGCTATATGAGGCATTTATTTTGAAAGTTGTGTGAATCGTACACATGAAAGAGAACACACTTTTTATTAATATTCCATAAATGAATTAACTGAAGAAGCAAGACTATTTAAGATCACAAAAATACAAGGATCACAGTCATAACATTTACCAAGATTTTTGAGTAGATTGGAATGCAAAAATCAATATTATTTAAGAAAAGAAATAAGGTGACTTGTACCACTTAAAAAATAAATGGCTCATTTGTACTTTTCAAAGTATTTATAAAAGTACTGATGTATTAGTATTTATACAGCTCTCTTTACAGCAATGGGGGGGATCTGGAGAAGCACATGGTGACAGTCCTGGACATCCAGAACAAGTTCATTGTCTTCTCAGCACCAATGCGTGAGGTGCAGGCCGTGCTCACAGAGTGGGGGTCCTTCTATGTGCTAGGGGGAGACAAAAGGCTGTACCAACTCCAGGAGAAGGACTTGCAGTCAAAGTTGGCACTGCTGTTTAAGAAGAATCTCTATGATGTGGCCATAAGGTAGAGTGAATGCAATAGCATCAAATTCAGTTCACTGATGTACAACCACAGCAAAGTGAGTAGCTGTGTCCGTTGTCCCTTGATGCACAGTTCATCCTGTGGATAATACCACGCTTTCTTGATTACCCAGCACCCTTGAATAAGTTGTGCACCCAAGTTTTTAGGAAAAAATAAATACACTTAATGGATTTATTAAGGCACTGAAGTGTACATGTCAAATATAAGTCTATGTAGTACATGGTGTCTTGAAATTCAAACATGTGTTGTTCATTTATTTTTGCCCTGTACTTTCCAGGATTTGACATTCTGACACTGAAAGGCACTTGTTTGTACCTCTAATATTCAAATAATTCCATGCTAAGGAAAAGAATACCATCCGTTGCTGGCTTTCCTTGGAACTTTGAATTCAATGTACTTTTGCCAGTGCCGAGATCTTTAACTGGCACTTTTCAATTTGTACTAAAGACACAGTCTGATACTTTTTCCTATTCAGAATATCTTGCTTTTTTCTGTTTCAGGATATTTTGCTTTCCTGCCATGAAATGTGCTCTTAACTGCCATTGATTTGCAGCATCAATTGTTTCCTCTTTCTCCAGTCTGTTCTACAGTTTTCACTAACTTCATACTGTAACAGATTTGATCAAAGCATGGCTCAGTAAACACATCCCAGCACGCAACAGTGGAAACTATGTCTCAGTGGATGAATGTTATAGCTTGTTACTAGGCAGCAGTCAGTGCGCCAATGAGATGGCTGGGTAGTGATCATATGTCTTGTGCTTTCAGTGTGATCTGTGTATTGTAACGGTAGAACTATGTTTTCTTTGGGTCTGTGCCGAAGCATTATAAGAGGTTCAAAATGACTGAGAAGGTAGTAGAAGCTAGGAGTAGTTGAGAGTCATTTGCTGGTGGAACATAGCCATGGGAAGTTTGTAGTTGAAGGGGAATTGGAAGTCAGCCTGAGAAGACATAGTGTGTGAATTTACATATGTTATAATTACAGTAATATTGAGAGTGTTATAATTATTTGTAGTTATGACTAGTAAACATCCAGTAAATTGATTCACCAATCCAAACCCGTGTCTTTAGTCACTATTACCTGTGACAGCTGGTGTCAGAAGTAACTGGATCAGATTGATCGCATTATTGGACTGAAGGCAGCAGTAAAAAGTTACTCTGCCCTACTATGGAGATGGAACAAATGTTGGCACGCCTGCTGGCAAAAATTGATTCCAGGATGGAAACTAATACAAAAGCAATGCACGAAGAGGTGGACACCAACAGAGAAGAATGGAAACAAGAAATAAGAGTTGGCTGAGAACACCTGAAGGAAGAAATGAAAGCCCAGATGGCTTCACTTATCTCTCAGATAGAGGACAATAATGAAAAGTTCAGGGTCCTTCAAAGGACTCTCATATCGCAGATGGACAGACAGCAAGAGAAGACGGATGCCTGGATAGGGGACACGAAGGAGGGTTGAAAGGAGATGATGGCCTGCCAAGAAGTGATGGAGAGCAATCCAGAGAAGATTGAGCCAAATCCAGAAAAAATGGAGTCTGGATCAGAACATCAGAGCATTAAGGAAGAAGCCACAGCGAAACCTTCTGGAACAATGAAGAAGCGGCATAGGGGCTGGCGTCTAGCTGCAGGGAGATGTGGGAAGCTAAAGTAACTGACCTGAAGACATTGTGGATCCAGAAGAAGTCCAAATTCTTAGTATGATAATCTTTCAAGGAACAGAGTTTATTTGGTCATAAGAGATGCTTGGCGAATGCTCTGCAATTTGCTTTCTTTTCCCTGTTATATCATGTTAATGGATTTCACTTTGTGTTTTAGGATTGCAAAGAGCCAACAGTATGATTCTGAGGGACTGATTGATATCTTTCGGCAGTATGGAGACCATTTATATACAAAAGGGGACCACAGTGCAGCAATAGAACAATATATCAAGACAATAGGGAAGCTGGAACCTTCGTATGTCATAAGAAAGGTATACCGTTTAATATTGAGAGTTTTTTTCCAGCCTTAATCTGTCAGTATATCTTTTAAATGGATTGAACTTAAGCCATGATACCTTCAGTTGTATTAGTAGTACTGTATTGTTTTAGTAGTCTTTATTATTAGGCATAGTATTTGTAGTGCACTTCAGGAGCCATTCTGCATCTAAGCTTGAATTTGGACTGGCTCAGTGAAGGCTTACAGGATGGATAAGGATACAGAAAAGGATTCTTTCTCTGTCTTGGTGGAAGCTACTCAGTTGGGCCCGGTTGGTAGAGCTAGCCCCTATCTCTGGACTTTTTTTTTTAAGGTTTTGATTTTTCTGGAGATAGGGACAAGCTCTATCAATTGGGCCCAACTGAGTAGGTTTCACATAAAGAAAGAGACCGAATCCAGTCTCCGAAACATGTGTTTTAAATAAAAGTAGGATGATGGATAATGTCCAGAAACCCATTTTAGATCTTATTCAGAATGTTAAATGTTATATAAACTTTGTAGAGCTTATAACGTTTATGTGTTAGAGCATATGCATTTTTACTTTTACATATACAGAACATAAGGATAGTGTTGTGACATGAAAAACAAATTGATCTCAAAATTTAAATACATATGAGTTCAAAAATGTCATACTTAGAATGGTTGTCTGTCACCTGTACAGCTCAAAGATTTTCTCAATATTTGGTGTTTGTAAATGTTTGTACTCTGAATAGGTCCCCTGTGTTGGGAACTGCGTAAATGGCTTTTTACTCTTAAGATTGTTCTCTTCCAAAAGGAGACCCTAATGCTTTTAATTAAATTATGTAAAGGTAAATCATCCCAAAGACCCTGCCTTGTAGGTGTATGGGGAGGTGGATGGAGGTGGGTGATCAGCTCGACACTCTGGCCACTCTGTGGAAAGACCATTGATTGGAAGGCTAAGTAGGCCACAGAGCTAGTCAGTTTATGGTGGCAAGGAGAAAGATCCTTCCTTCAGCCAGGAATCAATTCCCACCCCTAGTTAGGTAATTCTCTACTGGGCAATCCCACCTTACATGTGCAGAAAGAGCAATCCTAATTGATTCTGAGACTAGATTTCAGTGTTTGAAAACAAAAGTTACCAACATATTCCAGGTTGAACTTGAATCAGGTCTTTCACAGTTATTTGTGTGAGAATGAAGGGAGACATTTTGGTAATTAGGTGCTTATGATAAAGATTACATGTAGTAGGAATAAAGGATAAGTAAAGAAAATGGGAGAAATTTTGTTTAAAATATTTGGGGAAAAAAGAGGATGGTAAATAAGCTGTAGATGTAAACAGACAGGATTTTAGAAGAGGAGTAAGTATGGTTGAAGGATCTTCATATTTTATATATTATTGTATTGTAAAATTGTGTGTTTGCTAACAAAGAGGCCTGGAGCCCAACTGTTGGCATTCATTAATGTTTATAGTATGCTATAAAAAAATTTAACAATGTGGTCTTTTGGGTTGCTGTGTAGTTTGGTAGAAGTCCACCAATGTTTCAGCAGGGCATAAAATCATCTGTCCACTTGCTTCCTACTTCTTTCTTGGCTCACTCTTCAACTCTGCAGATATGTTCCTCTGAAACCCTCTGAAACATCAGTGGACTTCTACTGAACTACACAGCGTTGCAAGCAACAAGATTTTGCTCTTCATAATCACAGCTGTGAGAACCTCAAATCTAGCAGAATAAATTAATATTCTTTCACAGTCATTCACTATTATTTATTTTGGTTTCTAGGAAAGGCTGCTTAAATTATATATTTAATCATAGCCATATTTAAACACTTTCCTGTACTTCAACTCAGCATTGAAGTCTTTATCAGAAGAAGTGTAAACTGCAACAACAAATGTAAATATTAGAATGAATTTAAATTAAAATTCAATCTTGACCTTTGGCTTAGCCGATGGATATTAAGATATCCTCAGTCTTGAAGGTTTTTTCTGTAGCTGTGATCAGGTCTGTTGAAGAGCCCAAGAAACACTGGAAATGCCCAGTGGTCCCAGTAGAGTGCTTAAGGGGCAACTGAGTGTTGTTCCCCCATGTCATTACAATGTGAAATTGAGTCATAAAATAATGGAGACTGCTTCAGAAGTGTTAAGAAAACATGAAGTTGGAAGTAAACAAATGATCATATTTTTATTATAGTTTCTAGACTCACAGCACATAGACAAGCTAACAATGTACTTACAAGCGCTACACAAGCAAGGTCTGGCAACGGAGGACCACACAACACTTCTGCTCAATTGTTACACCAAGTTGAACAACACTGAGAAGTTGAAGGAGTTCATCATGGTGAGCAGTGCATGTAAAAATAGTTTTAAGCGGCACAAAATTTAATAAAAAATTGAAACATGAATTAAATCCTACATGACGTAATGCCTAGTGTTTTTATGTAGTCCATTTTCATATCAACAACCATGCTTCCCATTGTAATAATAGTAATGACTTGTGATAAACTTTCAGACTAAAGATCGTGAGGTGGACTTTGATGTGGAAATTGCCATAAAAGTATGTCGCCAGGCATCATCGGAAGATGCATTGATGCTTGCCAAGAAACATGGAATGCATGACTGGTATCTCAAAATACAGCTTGAAGACCGGGGCAAATACAGGGAAGCACTAGAATATATCAGCAGCCTTGAATTTGAAGATGTAAGCAAAATACAGTGCGGATAATCAGTGTATATTTGATTCTGCAGTGTATCTTTATGCTGAAATAATGCTATTACTCTGGTCAGTTTCAGAAATTGTAAAGAGACTTGTGTAGCTCCATTGTATTACATCTGTGTGTGTGTGTGTGTGTGTAGATGTGGATATGAGTTTGTCAATGTGTGTGTTGCGTGCACAGTTAAGTGTGTTCATGTGCATTCTTGCTCTCAAGCCCCTATTTAATTATCTCAGATGATGAATTTAGTTATAAAAAGATTTGGTGATGAAGGGATGAACGTTCATGGCAGAATTTTTTTTTTATTGCTAGTGAGGTGAGACTAAGTCCCTTGTAGGCCACGCCATAGCTCAAGCAGTTAGTCGCTGGCTTCCCACCGCAGCAGCCAGGGTTCGATCCCGGGTCTGGTCAAGTTGGATTTGTGGT